TAGTTCGAGTCAACAAAAACCGACGCAGGAGGAATCCACAAATTTTATAAAAAGTAATACAGTAGCCTGTGGAAGTTTCTTTGAAAAAAAAAATAGAAGTTTTACTTCGTAACCACTCATAGCCATTTAGTCTAAATGAGAAATGTGCTGATAATTTGCTGATTTTAGGCTAATATTGCATACAAACTTTTTTGTTCTGTTGGTGATTTACTAACGTCAGAGTAAAAAATATACAGTGTGTTCCATTTAAGAAGAGTACATTTTGTTTTTATAATCGTAATCAGTGGGAAAAATGCTACTAGTCAGCTATGTATCGAGCCGGACGCGACAAACGGAGACCGAGCGCTTATTTTCGTCAAAACGCACGAGCGTCCAAATTATTACCAAACAAAATGGCAACTTACGTCACCGCGCCAGCGAAAACCTTAACATTTAGTCGAAAAATTTAGTTTTTAAATTTTTTTAATAACGTCGGCAATTTAACCAACCACGTGCGTATATTATTATCGGTTTTGCCGTATTCGGTTAATTTTACGACCGTATTTAATTATTTTCCCGCGGACGCCGAATACGGATTTACTGTGGGACGAAAAGCGAAAAAAGAAAAACACGCGTTTTAGTCCATATTTTTATCGCCCACCAATCATACTTGTCTCCCATGAAAAAGGAGGTTTCAACATAATTATATATATATATATATATATATATATATATATATATATATATATATATATATATATATATATATATATATATATATATATATATATATATATATATATATATATATATATATATATATATATATATATATATATATATATATATATATATATATATATATATATATATATATATATATATATATATATATATATATATATATATATATATATATATATATGGTGGTTAATAAAAAACAAAGAAAATAGAAAGCTCCTTTTTTCTTTAACACTCAATATTTCGTCAATTTATTTGTTGACTTCTTCAGGAGTGAACTAAAATTTAATGAAAACAACCGATCGATCAAACTATGTGCAGTGGTTGAGCATTACATAAAAACAGGACATGAATTTGACTACAGCAATCGTAAAATTTTGCAATGTGTCAACAATTATAAAGCCCGACTGTTTCTTGAAATGTGCCATATTAACAAAAACAAAAATTCAATTAACTACAAGTCTGATACACAGCAAATAAGCAATATATACTCACGATTGTTTTAATTGTCTGTTATGTAGTTTGACCTGTTCTTTTCATTAAATTTTAGTTCACTCCTGAAGAAGTCAACAAATAAATTGACGAAATATTGAGTGTTAAAAAAAAAGGAGCTTTCTATTTTCTTTGTTTTTTCTTAACCACGGACCGCCACCCGATATCCTTTGAAGAAATTCCGCGAGTCTTACATGTGTGTTGTAAATTCTTCCGGGTTTTACGCCGCGTCTGTGTCTGGCTGGCTCCAAGTGGAGGTAGTCCTCTGCTGACAACGTTTCGGTAAGATCTCACTTGCCATTTTCAAGTCGGGTCATTCTGCTTCTCGTCTGAACTCGGCTTGAACTTTGAAACTTGAACAGTTCAGTGTTATTCTAGTGGACTATCTAGTGGCTACCCTAAAATTTTCGAAATTGTTATTTCCACAACAAAACGAAACTAAACATTTTGTCTGAACGTTCAGCCTTGGGGACTCTAACGATCGATGAGGCGACGAACACCTAACAGCGATCGGAGACATGGAGGCCAGCCTAATGCCGATTATATAGGAATTGATGATGCACCTATGGAAAATAATTTTCTTGTTAAATGTTGCAAGTCAAACGTACGGAAAACGCTCTTCCGAAAGCAAATTGTCCAATTTTAGGGGCTTATTTCTATAATCTACCGTAATTATTATTTCTAAATGGAATTCTTTACCATCTGTGCAGTGAAACTCATATCTGGTCGTACAATGTCACCGTTGGTACAGATGGAATCAGCTCAGAAAAAAAAAAATTTCTTTTTTTTTTGTCTATTGTCCGTTGAAATTTACGGCCATTTAAACAACCCACGAGATAAATAAGCCTATAAGAAATGGCCGTGATCGAACACTGCCTTCCATCTTATTTTCTCTATTTTCTTCTGTCCCTTAGGAAACGCGATAAGTCTCCGAAATTCTCAAAATAAATAAGAACTAAAAGTTCAGATTTTCACGAAATTATATATATTCACATGACAATTGTTTCGACAACAGGGTGTCTTTATGAAATGTAATATTTACAAACTACCTTCTACTATATATACCGAAAAATGACAATAAAACCGTAATTAATGTTGTGAGAATTTAAGTTCAATAAATAATAAATAATTGATCATTTTGTTAATGTCCATAGCTTCCAATAAATTTAATTTTCTACTTTTTGTGGCTGTTTGTAAAACATAAAAATTGTCGTCAAAAGTGTGTTTTTCTGTGTTTAAGTGTATAATCATAATTAGAATATTGGCTACTGTTTTTAAACGTTCTTTTATGTTGGTTAATGCGTTTCTTGAGGGATCTACTTGTTTGTCCAATATTAATTTTAGGACAAGATCCGCATTTCAACCTGTAGACACCTGATTTTTGAGATTTTGGACATTTCGTTTTATTGTTTTTTAAAAATTTCCCTAATGTATGTGTGTTAGTTCTGAAAGCTATTTTTAAACCACATTTTGACAAATGTTTTGAAACTTTCTCCCTGGGTTTTCCTATGTATGTAATTGTTTTAAATTGTTCGTGTTTTCTATTAGATTTCGGATAAATAGAGTTTACTGTTGTCTGGATTTGTTTTTTATTTATAATTTTATCAATAATGGACGGATTGTAGCCGTTGTTCAGTGCAATTTGTTTAATTATATTAAGTTCTTTGTCGTAATTTTCCGTTGAGAGTGGCGTATTAAGAAGTCTGTGTATAAAAGAGTGAAATGCAGTAATTTTGTGTGTATAAGCATGATTTGACTGTGTCCTTGTGTGAATGTTTATGGTAAATGGAAAAATCTAATTTGTTTTGCGTTTTCGTGATAGTTAAGTCTAAAAAATTAATAGAGTTATCCTGTTCAATCAATTATGTAATGAGTTAATGCAATTAAAAAAATAATTCAATTGTCTGTCCTTTCCAACAAAGCATGCAAAGACATCATCCACGTATCTATACCACCATAGAAAACTTTTACTTAAAGGATGTTCTTGTATGATATTTTCCAAAATTATCCATAAAAATCTCGGCTGACAAAGGACTAACTGGGTTTTCCATAAGAGAGGTAAATCTGTCCATTAAATTCAAAATAATTTTGGTCTAAAGACACTATTAAGCAATCTAATAAATCTTGTTTCACTAATGGGTGAAATCTACTGTCTATTGTCGAAACAATTGTCATGTGAAAATCTATAATCTCATCAAAATCTGATATTTTAGTTCTTATTTATTTTGTTAAATAGATTTTCATCAAGTAAAAGCCACCTCAGTTCAATTTTTGAAATAAGGAACATAACTAGCGAGAAGAATAAAATCACAAAGTGATATGGTCAGGTAGCAAGTTCAATTTCAAATATAGATTTTAGTTATTTAACGGAATTTGCTGAACTTGGAGAAGCCGAAGGGTTAGGAATTATTTTTTAAAGTTTAAGAATTCTTAAAATGTTCGTAATAAAGGTTTTCCAATATCAGCGGTAAGAGTAATAAATGAATTATTTAATGCGGCCTATCATACACACCGATCGGATTTAGTAACCATTCAATAAAATCCTAGAGATTAATTGTGTTTAATACGAAATCTAGGTCGACACTCTTGAAAAGGGCAGACGCTTCGGTGCATATTATGTCAAACATTATTGTGCAAAAAATAAAGAAGGAAACCTTGGGACTGTCTCCAATTCCCACCCATGTATTCTGCCTATATATATATATATATATATATATATATATATATATATATATATATATATATATATATATATATACATATATATATATATATATATATATATATATATATATATATATATATATATATATATATATATATATATATATATATATATATATATATATATATATATATATATATATATATATATATATATATATATTCACGTATTGATTCACGGATGGAAAAATATGTTGAAAAAATATTCCGGGATATCATCCGTTCGCTTGTTGAACTCCAACTGGAATCCTGCATCCGACTGGAATCCTGCAGACGTTTCGCCAAGATCTTACTTGGTATCTTCAATGCTCGCGTTTCGAAGTGTAATAGCCCTCAAAAACAGTTGACAAGGTTCAAAATTGGTTAGTCTTTAACCGCTGATTTGTTTTGGTCGGTTGACTAAATGTTCGAAAGCAACTGAGCACACTTCATTTCGTTTTCAAATATTATTCTTCATGCAAAATTATTTTGTGGTAAGTCCCTGTAAAACGGAAAGTTTCCCAAAATCTTACTTTTTTTTGAGAGTCAAGTTCTTTCATTCCTGTTTTAGGTTATTATGAAGATTATAGATGCGGTTTTCTCTGAATTAGTGGGGCTCCTTAAGAAAAAAATAATGTCACTCGCATTTATTTTTAAAATTAAAAATTAAAACTAATTTCTTGTTCTGAGAAAACCCACTTAAGTAATATGTTTACAGATAAAATTTTCTTTAATTAAATTCTGAAAAGTATTATAACTTGTTATTTTATGAATTGTGTGTTATGAAAGTCCTGCAAACTGATTGCAATTTTCTATTAGCAACAACCTATTCTATTTATACTTATTCAAGTAGGCCCGTGGAGTAGGTAAAACATTATGGGATTCCTGAAGAACGGGGTTAATTAAAAAGAAATAGTTATTTCCTTATTCAAAGTAACATTAATTTCGAGAGACGAAAGGTGTCCATCCACCAGGATCTCAGCGGAGATCCCAAATCGTTTCAAGGCACACCAAGACGCGTGGAAGTGGCAAAGCTAACGACATACACGTTCGTCGTCGACTGAAAACAAATGAATCAGACGTAAAAAAGATGAGTCGCGTATAAAAACCATCATCCCGAGTTGCCGAAGATCAGTTCGGCAAACTCATTTTAAGTGAGAGTGTTTAAGAACTGACGTGTGTGTGTGCGTCTGCTGAACCTTTAGATAAAATTAGTAAGTACGCCATCGGACCAGCCTTCTATACGGTGTCTCGAATATATTATGGACTGAGATTACGCGGCTCGTGTGTAGTTTTTGTGCCCAATTTTGGATTTGTTTCGTGCGCTCAGCAAAAATTAGTGACGTGCACGGGAAACGGAAACAAATTTGTACGGTGGGACGTTCGATAGCGAAATCGCTTACATAAATAAGAATTGCAACTTACAACAATACGAATTTTTTGTATTGAGGTGAACGATATATGGAATAAAGAAAACACGTTGCTAATAAATTCTAATTTTTCTTATTATTCATGAACGAAAAGAAATACTATCATTATAAATGTATTGTACAGGGTCAAGAGAGAATAATAAATACAGTAGTTATATATTGTTAGGGTTACCGAATAAAGCGTGAATAATAAAACATACGTTTTCCTATTAATAATAGTACAAGGCCCTAAATCGATATTTTCATTTTTCCTAGTTTTCACACTTGCAAAAAATCACGATCACTCATATTTCAAAATAAACGAATATATTTGGATGAGTATGTATGTATGTATTTATGACGGTGGGGTGAAAAGTGCCCGGCCTGAAAAAGAAAAACGATGTTTTTATATCTTTTTTTGCTTTATTTTTTAATATATTCTTCATCAACGCTGATAAATTTCTCATAACCACGTTCTAATTGGGTTATATCATTAGCCCCAACCTTGTTTTTCGATAAAATTCCTTTATACTTCCTTGGAGTTGGTTCCCCTTTTGCAACCCGCTGTTGTCACTGTTTCTTATTTTCAGAGGTGTAGTGGTGGAGCCGAGTCTCAGCAACAGTTATGAATCGGCGCAAAAATTCGTTTTTTATTTTTCGAACCACTTCGCACACGTTCAACATACACCCTAATACTTGAATTTTTTCCTTAATTTGTTTTGGTGTAAGACCTTTCAAATAGAAGTATGCAAGACGTTGTATGCAAGCTTGGTAGGAATGGTATTTAAACTTTTACCCTTCCTTGTGTCTAGGACTATTGCTATAAATATAGTTCGACCTGGCAAAACCATTAGCTGACAGCTCTCTGTTTACATTAAAAAATGAAATAATGAACAGAGTTTTTTAGTTCATAAACGGTGTTATTTTTCACACAATCACACGATCTTTGTTATCTCACCGCAGAGAGAAACCTAATGGTGTTAAGTCATATAAACCACACTCGATTTAATCAACTTCTTGAAGAAGTTGACGTAAACTTTTATCACATAAGGAGGAATTGAATAGTGTAGGCAGCAGATATAAATAATTAAGTTTATATAATCTCATAGTTGTTAAAATAAATATATTCTAATTAAAATGAAATAAAAAAATTAATTTATCATTTAAGTTTATCACGAACGACACTGGTCAAACACAATCGACTTTCTCTGCGACATAAATTTGTACTTATCTGGCCACAATACCTACAAAGTTTGAAATTTTCAAAAACAATTCCATTTCGACACCCCGTAACTTCGAAGTTAAACATTTCTGGATTTAAGTTTCGCTTTTTTTTATTTGCTTAATGCGCCGTTAACGTTTATAAAATATGTGCGATTCGAAACTTTCACAAAAGGCGCGTATGGGCTAAGGATAATCCGCATTCAAATGCAAATTGTATTTTGTCAGATGCTTGTTAATAAATTACTTTTTCAATGTAATTGTTAAGGAGATAACTTCTAAATGTTGAAAAGAACATTTTTCAAGTTTTGTGTATTTATCTAAAATTTTATTGTTTCATCTATTTCCGTTTGCAAGATAAAAAAATATTAACATTAGTTTTGGCGACGTTAACTTTGAAACGGTGACTTTCCTTTAGTCCGTTAAACTCCACCAGTGAAACAAAATGAAATTCAACACAAGCAAGCAATACAAAATTGCAAAAATGGCAGTTTGAAAGGCTGGAACATTTGCGACCCTAGATCTCAAAACCGAGTGAAGCGTTGGTCAATAATTTCTAAACCGTAATTATCGACATAACTACCGTTGCCACATCTATACGTTAATTTAGTTACGCAACCTTCGAGGTCGTCATCTCAGTCGTAAACGTTTAACATTTATCTTAAAATTTTAGAGAAACATTTCTGGTTGTGGTTAAAGTTGGTGTTCAGGTCTCTGGTCTCTTTTCCTGACATTTCCGGCAATAAAACATCTGCCGCAATACGTAAAGTTTTATTTCCATTTCAATTCATTTTTAGTTGTTACTCACCAAGTAATTTCAAAAAAGATTAAAAAAGAAATAGTAATAAGAGGACGTAAAATATTTCTTGCCAGATATTTGCAAACCGATCGGATGTGCCGAGCAATTTTTGGGAACTTATAGCAAAGCAATATGCGAGTGTTTCCAAAGCGAAATATATTATAACATAACATTATAATGGCTTCGGCCATATTGTAAACGAGGTATAAAAATTTGTGACAAGACAAACTGAGTGTTACGTCAACGCGAAATCGTATGCAAATTTGTACAAATAATTTGAAGAAGATCCGCATGCCGCGGTGTTTTTTTTTTTTTTTAAATATCCTTGATGTGTTTTTGTGCAGCGATATTAGAAATGTTTTTCACGAAAACTGCCCACGCGTATTTTTTAATTAAGTATTTTTTTGCCTCTTTGAAATGAACGTAAAGTGCGGAGCACCGGCTTTAATCTAGTCGATAAGTTGGGAAATTATATTTAGAGAGTTACATGAGCATCTAATTCGACATTTTCCTGCAAAGGACGAACCGTATTGTCAATTTTCACTATATTTAGGAATTCAATGTTTCTGTGTTTCTCCACTAATTTAAGCTCTAAAAGCACTAGTTTTTGTTAGTTATTATTAATGAAATCAGTCGAATATTTAGACCTTGGATTGGCCTCCACGCATTCCAGACCTTTACCCAGCAAAATATAGACTAATTGATATATCGATACGAGTTATCGATATCATAAGCGCTTAAGACTTTTTATTCGTTTAATGTTTATAATTTTTTTCCCGGTTTTCGTTGTAAGAAAAATTCCGTATTTTATATAGTAGACCCGAAAAAATGTATAAAGTCGAATTTACTAAAAAAAAAAAGGTGACTATAGAACTGAAACATCCTTGTCAGGCCGTTTTCGTATATCTTATGGTTTTCCAAATTCCAACAGTCCTCATCCAATTTAAGCCACCCTGTAGATACCCAAGACTTAAATCGACGTTTTACGTTTAGCGATCATTTATCAGTCGTTCCTAATATCAAATCGGCAAGGAAAAAAGAGGCACGATTTTTTTCTAACACGCGTGTTCGTCCCATGTAAGTTCATTTCACACAAATTCGCTTTTACTTTTGACGGTCTTCCGATCATGTCGTTTATCTGTCTCCATTCATCACGCGAGTTAATCTTAATTGGAATCACGATATTTGAGTACACGACACCGGCGAAAGTAGATTTGAAAAAATATTACCGATCGAGATCATTTTTGATCCATCCATATGAAAAAAAAAAATGAAACACATAGTTGTGACGAGTTTGCAAAAAACATAATTCCAAAAGAAATTGCTTGTATGCTTCGACCCCATACAAAACGCACTTTCCTTAGAAATGTCTGTCTCTTTCCTTCCATTTTTTTTTCGTATTGTCTCCACTGCATAGTCATCTCGTTCCACATTTCATTCATTAATTTTATGACTAGCATAATTCTTTCCATTGCTCTTTGTGTTTTCTTAATTTTAGTTTATTGCGGTCTTCGAGTACTATGGACATTTTTTGTGATAAAACTCAGCTTTCTAAATGCTACAAGTCTGCATGTCCTCTTGCAATACTAACTTTCCTCCATTTCTCAGTATTTCCACAGTCACTCCGTATTTTTCAGAAGCTTGTCCTTCGTGTCTCAAAGATTCCTTTATTTCTGATTTACTTCTTTCAAGATGTAGCTCTGAGTTCAGGTTTTTTACTTTATGTTTTAGTCTTTTCTTTATTTCTTGTCGTGCGCGATATGGTTTAGTGTAGTATTCTTTTTGTATACCGGGCGTTTTTTAATTGAATGTAATATGTCCTAAATGCTTAACTTTTGAGATACAGAATGGTAAGGTTTTAGATATTTTATTGAAATTTGGCACACGTCTACGACCAAAATACAACAATGGCAGATAGGAAAGGAAATTTAATTTCTTGATTTTCTTCAATTCGATGTAAGGTTTTTGCTCAAAAAAATAAAAACCTGCACTTTCTCTGCACGGTCTTAAGTAATTGTGTAGCTGTTTCTTTAAAATTCTTCGAAAAATCAATTTAATAAGAAACACTGGAAGTATACTTCAAAGAGTGCACGGCAATGTGAGGAAAGAGCTGAAGCGTGTAACCTTCAAGGTTAATTAGTTTCCTTTTTTCAAAAAGGTTGTTATTATTTTATTAACACTATTTAATTAATTAATTATTTAAAAACTGACAGTTTCGTACTTAATTCCTTTCACTTCATTGAACAATTCAAAAGCATACACAAGATGAATCCCTCTTTACCAAAGTTCCTATTCCTGAAATTCTCAACATCATTTCAGATATATTAAAGTAAGAGAATCTGGAACCAAACCCTCCCACCTTAATTGAAAAATGCTTGTCTCCACTATCACCAGTCATTATGGAAGCCTTTGGGAAGAAAGCTCTCGATACCTTTCATCTAAAACCAAAATTATGGAAACGCCACGTCGATGATACTTTTGTCATTTGGCCTTATGGTGAAGAAACCCTAGTAGATTTTCTTACATATTTAAACTCTATATACACTAACATACGTTTTACCATTGAGTTGGCAACTAATAATAACCTTCCATTCTTTAGGTCAAAAATAATAGGTTATCAACTCTCTTGCTTACAGAGCGCTAAAACTATCTCAGCCCGTCACTGAATCCAGAATTAAAACACCTTACCTCTGTTATTCACTCCAGTAATTTCCACATTAAAGATATTAGGCGTCACATCAAAAAATACACTTCACCACAACCTTACAATAGCAATGAGGCCGAA